TGTTCTTTGCATGAGGTCATATGCCAAATATACTTTCTTCATAATTAAACTCAAGCCAAATCTGTGTGGGCTTCATTAGTTTGACGAAGGCTGGGAATATAATGCAGGTTGCACAATTCTCCCTTGCTAGCAGAGGTTATATAATCAATAGATCTTATACAACCTGTTATAATATATCTACTGAATAACACCTGCTGTTGGGTAGGAGGTAGTCAGCAGAAGTATTAAATGTTTTAATGAGTAGTGCAGACAAATCATTCTTCCTGATTTTGAATTATCAGGGTTTTGGACACTCAATACCTCATCCATTCCAGCCAATCTAATATGAGATTTATCTGGCAAGGAGGAAGAATACTTAAGGAAATAACTGTTCCTATATCTCTATAGTAGATCAGTTCAGAATTTCTTAGGTTTGTCCAATTCTAGATCAAACATAAGTTACGTAATATTTTTTGTAGAGTGTTGATGGTACATTCAGATGAAACATATAATATAGCAATAATAAACTATATTTTATTTTTATATTTATGATTTCATGAAAGCTCGCTGCTAAGCAAACCTGGTGGTAAAAATAAGCCTGAATATTTGGAAAACACAAGTTGGATAATTGTCTTGGATGCAAAGGTAAAAGGCCTATTTGAGCAAAAGGTTTAGAAGAAAAAAAGTCTATTAAGAAATTTTTTTTAATCTCTTGGATTGAAAGTTAAAGGAGTAAGCTGCTTGAGAAAACAATGGGGATTGTCTGGAAGAGAAAGAAAGGATTTTTGTGAGAGTGGGTGTGAACCAAGAAAAAAAATTCGCAAGAGGAAGCTCATATACAGATGTGAATTTGTGAGAAGGGATGTGAATTTGCAAATTCATGTGAAAAAATTTTTTTCTGACTCTAAGTGTAAGTGTGCATGTTTGATTTACTAAAGAAATATTATTCTTGAAGCCAACTGAGTGGGTGAGGTCTGCATAGCACTGAGAAATGTCTCATCCTTGTTTCTGAACTAAAGACATACTGTTGGTAGATACATGTAGATTGTGGGGAGAAGCAAAGATTCATTGGAGTAGGTGTTATAAGAAGTATGAGTCGTCTAGGTGGGCCACCTTTCCATTTTTTAAAAATATATTTTCCTTCTGCTTTCCAGAACAAAGTTCTAAAGAATAAAACCTCTACATGTTCTACACATACACACACATACACACACACACACACACACACACACACAAAATGTTATTATACAAGTATATGTATTAAAATAATTTTTGAAAGAACTCTGGATTAGGGGAAGGGGGTCCTAGAAAGTTTTAATCAAGACTTCAACATTTATGTATTTATTTCCTAATCAATCAACAAGCACTTATTAAGCATCTACTATATGCCAGGTGCTGAATTTTCTTAAAAAATAAAGATTATATGATGGAATACTATTGTGCTATAAGAAATGATGAGCAGGCAGACTTCAGAAAAACCTGGAAAGACTTGTATGGACTGATGCTGAGTGAAGTGAGCAGAACCAGAATGTTGTACACAGTAACAGCCACGTTGTGCAATGGCTAACTTTGATGGACTTGGCCCTTCTCAGCAATGCAAGGATCTAGGACATCCCCAAAGGTCTCATGATGGAAAATGCTGTCCACATCCAGGGAAAGAACTATGGAGTTTGAATGCAGATGGAAGCATACTATTTGCTATTTTTTTTCCTTCTATTTTGTTTCATTTCCTCTTTCTGGTGGTCCCTCCTATTGGTTCTAATTCTTCCTAACAACATCACTAATGTGAAAATACGTTTAATGGGAATGTATATGTATAGCCTGTATCAGATTGCGTGCTGTCTTGGGTAGGGAAGGGGGAAGGGAGGGGAAGAAAAATTTAAAACTCAAAAGCTTATGGAAGTGATTATTGATAAATCAAAATAAATTAATAAAAAAAGATTTTATTGTACACTTTGTACACAATGAGAAAAGAGACACCACAAACATGCAGTGATATCCCCTTAAAAGAAATACACTCCCCTAAAGTACAGAAGATAGAAAATTTTCTTTCTGCACCTACTTCTGGACTATTCTTAAGCTCTAGTGATTGTTCCATGCTACTCTAGAAGAGATGCTTGAGAATGATTGGATTTAAAAAACAGTGGCACAATTACACAGGTACCAGTGGCTTTGCCCTGTATCCAGGCTTCTAAAGAAACACACCAAACCTACACAATTCCAATCCCCTCCAGTGGAAGGGAATATGATTGGGAGTTCTCTTTCTTTGACATCCTTTCAAACTCACTGACAACTTTCCTTCAAAAATTTTCCTAAATCTACTTTCAGCTTGCAGGTTATAAAATCAGGCAATTTTTAAACCCCTCTGACTAGGTGATTACCTGTAAGCATAAAGGTATACTTATCTAGTTCCTTGTCCATTATTGCTACTGTATATATTAGTCTACCTTGTATTCCTTCTTTAGATTGTTTAGATTGATGTTAAGAAACTGGTCCTTATCCTCTATTATTCCCCCGTGCCATGGCCATAGTGAACTCTCAACTCACATAGGCAGAAGCTGGCTGAGTTGTTGAAGCTCAACTCTATTTCCATCTTTCCCACACAACCTCAGCCACCCCCAGGATCTCCACAGATCTCCAGTTCAGAGGCCTTATAATCTAAATATTAGCATAAAGTCTTAGTAAAGGAGCAATATAATCTAAGGAATCAAAAGGGTTCTGGACAGCAAACGGTGCCATGAGGAAGAAAGTCCTTTGCACAAATGATCTCAGAGATGTGATGGAACCCTTACCTTAGAGTCATGTGAGTTATTGGAAAAATAGCTGTTGTTTTCTTCCTAGAACACTACTTAAAGGAGGGGAGTCATGTGTCACATCACAGGTAATGACTGGTTTGAAGAAGGTGAGCTTTGGTGGGGAAATCCGGGGCTACAGGAGTTGCCATGGCAACCAGTCTCTTTCCCCAAATGCACTGCTTTTCTTCCAACTCTCACCCTCAAACCCGCCTAACATCTACAGGTATATCACTTACAGTAAATGGGAAACTGAATCCCTATTCAGTCCCTCCGATTCTTGTCCCCTTGTGTTATCTCACCCTAGTTTTTAAAGGAGCAGTCAAGCACATGGCTGGAAAGCCCTGCTGCTGAGTGGCCTACTGTAGAGATTATCTTATCCCTGCTTAAAATCAGTTGATACAATTCACCCAAAAGCAAGAGTCTGTCATCCTGGACCCTAACATTATTTATGCTTGGAATCCATACAGGAGTCTAAGAAAACTAAGAAAATATCTCTCCCTTCCTTCTCCCTTTTCACAACCATCTCCCTTGTTCTTCTCTCACTCCCTAGAAGACAATGTCAGTCCTCCTCTGATCACCTCCTCCCGCCTTCTGATGGCCAATTAGCTGACAGTTCCCATGGGCCTAACTAAGATTAGAAGCCCCAGGCCTCTCTACTTCAAAACAGCCTTCGCTCAAACCAAATTTTTCAGGAGGAAGGGGATAAAGAAAATCAGTGTCATTTGTAATCAGGGTACTTAAAAAAGGAAATTATAAATTAAGTGACAGAAGTTGCAAGAATCTGACGGGAATTTTTTTTCCCCTCCATGGAAAGAAAGAAAGATAACAAATAAGAGATAAACCAAAAAGAGATAACCAGTAAGAGTTTCTATAATGCTCTCTTCAGATACCATTTGTGAGATAACTCTTCCTTGTATTTATTTTGACATGGAAAAGATGTCTTGCCTGTTAAGGGATGAAGTCACACCTCAGGAAGATAGCGTGAACTGTGGCTAATGCTATTCATCTGTATTCTGGCTTCGTCAGCACTCTACATTCAAGCATTCACAAAGTCGGCTTTGGAACCTCTTCCTGGGACATCCATCCCTACCTCAAGCCCCCAAAAGGCAAAAGCAGCAACCCCAGAAGACACCAAATACTTTTTCCCACATGGATCAGTAACTAATTTGCCAAAGTGTGGAAATGGTTTAAATAGGTATCAAATTTGCTCACTTCAGTGACAACAGGAAATGTCACAATGTTGTTTTTTTTTAAAGAGGAAGAAAAAAGAAAGGAGTAATAAATGGCCAGAGCAGTGATAGCATCTGTACTTGGCAGCAATGTGAAGGACCATTCTGAAGCTTTCCTGCTTGTCATTTTTTAACAATTTCATTGGAATGTCCTATCTCACTGATTAGAGTAAGGTGCTGAGAACATCAGGGAAAGGAGATAGTTTTGCTGACAAAACACTTCTCCCCCCCACATCTCTTTTAAAACAACAGTTATCTGCATTCTGAGGCTTAGGGGGGTTGGGCAAGGCAGATGATTTTTCCCCCTCTGGGCCTATGGAAGAGACACAGCAGATTTTCAGAACCCACTCTAAAGCTTTGTTCCATAACATGCCCAGAATGAGGAGAGTCCTTTGTTATGACTTCACAGCAAGCCAAAAGTAAACACACTCTCTTATTTTTCCACGGAGAGTTCTAACCCCAAATTGTGAGCCTTGGCTCCCTCAGAAACTCTAAGGGAAGGATGCCTTTCCCAAGAAAAGGAATTCTTTCTACCTAAACTTCAATGTGCAAACTGAACGTCCATCAGCAAACTTCCAAAGAACCTTCCCGGCAATTACTCACTAAGCAATGACACCAAAGACCACCTGAGAGGCCCAAACCCCTTTAACAGAGAATGACACAAATAAGACACAAATAAAAGATTTCTCCTGCAAACACCTGCGCTTTTCACTTACAAAGCACATTTCAGGACACTCATAGAAATCTGCTGCTTAAAACACATCATACTCAGAGTTCACTAACATCTAATTGGAATATTCTTTCCTAAAATGAGCTGTGATCAGACAGGTGCTAATTTGAATAAGGAGCAAAACAGAACTGTGGATCTGAACTCCACAGAGCTTTTGTACATGCCAAAGACACATCTTACTTCTCCTGTATTTGCAATGTTCTCTCCATAGTATTGGAGATCACCTCCAGGCTCTGCGTAAGAAAAGAAAAGCATAGACAGACTTACCAGGTTAGAATTGGTGGCATTGGAATCATCTTCTGGAAAGGGAATATAGATCGCTAAGGCCACACAATTGGCAAAAATAGTCAATAAAATAATGATTTCAAATGGTCTGAGGAAGGGAGTTAAGGAAATTACTTCCAAAGAGAATACACACAACACAAACATACACTTTTTTTAAATTAAAGATTCATAAGAATTTTGTTTAAAGAATACATTCCAGGCCCCTTGTATCCTGAAAAGAAACATATGCCTTTTTAAGTGCTTCTGGTGGGTCTCTGCCAAAATTCTTCCTAATATGTCAAAAGCAGTGAAGGCCAGTCGCGTGCCAGAGTAAACATAAATTTCTAAAAAGGTTTTTTTTTTTCACTTTTCTGAACATGGGATTGGGGCTGCTTTTTAAAAGCAGCATCAGCTTCAGTCATCTCTCCTATTCCTCTCAGATCACCTTTTGCCCCTCAGAGGGTTACACCTGCTCATTAGTGACTTGGTAAATCGGGCTTGGAGTTAGAGCAGCTTGAGTGCAGGGGAGGACATGGGAAAGGAGGCAGGGAGGGAGAGAGAGAAAGAGACAAAGGGAGAGAGAAAGAGAAGGATTGATTTTCTCTCATCAAGTCATAGAATGCTAAAACTGGAAGGGGTCTTAGAGACCTCAACATCTAACCCCCTTCAGCATGGTGCAGTGAAAACAATGCTGAATCCAGAGGTCAAGATGGACCTGAGTTCAAATCCTGCCTCTGACCCTTAACATGTATTAGCTATGTGATCTTGGATAAATCACTTAATTTTTCTGAGCTTCAGTTTCACCAACTATAAAATGAGGATAATAATATCTGTAGTAACTACCTCACAGGGTTACTGTGATGATCAACTAAGATAATACATGTGAAGTGCTTTGCCAACAAACCTTACCAAACTATTTAAATGTCAGCCACAAGTACAGCAAATGGGATACAGAAAGATTACGTGACTTGCCCCAGATCACGTATGTGGCACAGACAAGATTAGAATCCAAATCTTCCCAACTCCAATTTCTTCTAGTGATGTTTCCACCACCATGCTGTCCATCCAAATTGCTAAGCAAGGGCAATTAGAGCTTCCTTTGGGGTTGGGTTTCTTTCTTTCTAGGCCAATTTGTTCAAACTGCTAAAGCTAATAAAATTCCGCCCAGCTCCAGATTGGTTTAAATGACACCCCTTGATCCTGCATTTCTTATCTTTGCAGTGGTCCATAGACTCACAGCACTTAGCTGTGGGAGAGAATTTAGATAGCTGATCAAGTCAATTCAGTTCTTCCTATGAGATATAGAGAAGTGGACTGAATTACCAAAGGTCACATGAAAAATAGGGAACAGAGCCAGCAACCTAGCTATCTTAGATAGTGTGCCCATCTATTTGTCAAATGTCACCCCACTGTCTCTACAAAAGTGTGTGGTAGTTAGATCACCAGACCAACCATTATCAGTCCAACCTCCATTTGAACCCTTACCTACCACTCACCATCCTACGCAAGCAGGGCTGGTGTCAAATACTATATCATATCAATGAAATCAATCAAGGCAGAAAGATTAATAGATGTAGGCTAGTTATACCATCTCAGGGTTATCTTCACCTAGTGAGTAGATGATCATTTTTAACCTACTCTCTCTACTTAATGACAGCTTTTGAGCCCTCTTCCTGGCAAGAACAACTGGTCTACCTACCTAACTGTTTTCTTACCTATCCATCTACCCTTCCTAAACATTCTGGGAACATCACCAAGAGCCACTACTAGTAGGAGCTCATCTGTTTGTGCTTAATATTTGTTATGGATTGAATGTTTCTCCTACCAGCCAGGTGGACCCTGACTCTGGTGGATCGTTTTGTCCTTCTCCTCAACCCTCCCATTCCTGACAGGACGTATTACTGTGTTACTGAGAAGTCTAATAGGTTGACCTATGCCCGCAATTAGAGAATGAGATTCATATGGGTTACTGGTATAGGCAAGAGATTTTGCCCAAGCCCCTACCACTGGCTTCTGCTACTTTGATAGCATTCAGGCAAATTTTAAGTCATATAACTACTGCTATTCATTCTACACCCTTGACTATAACTCAATTCTCCATCTGATTTACTTATTTCTTTCTAGGAGAGTACTCTCTTTTGCTATTCCCTCATATTTCTAAAGCTTGTACTTTGTTCATTTTATCGCACACTAGTGATTCTTGATAGGATAGTCTCTTAAGCATATGATGGATTTCTCTCTATCCCAGCATTCTTCTCCTCCTCAGAAACCATTCTTAGTATTTAGAACTGAAAGGGACCTCAAAGTTCTTGTAATCTAACCCTCTGATTTTACAAATGGGAGAACTAAGACCCAGAAATAGGAAGAAGCCTCCCTATGGTCACACAACTAGCATGTAGTAGAAACAGGATTTTGCCTAAGTCCTCTGAGCCCAAATATAGTATGTTCTTTCCATAACTTTTTCTGCCAATGTGAACTTCCTTAGAAGGAGAGCTCTGGGCTTAGAGTATATGATGAAGAGCTTTCAAGAAATACTATTAGAAGCAGGGGTATGCTGGTAAATGTTTAACAACCAGCTCTCCAAAAACCAGGACACACTTTTCATCTGCATTATTAACATTTTCTTCATCACTTTCTAGACAAGCAATAAAATAATAAATCAAGACCTGATTTGTAGCAGCTGCTAATTTCCAAGGCATAAATGTCCACACTGAAAATTTAATAATTGGTTCACGTGAGCTGGTACAAGCTGGCTCCAGCACACTTCTGGGCAGAGGCTATAAAATGGGGTGATAATAGCACCTGTCTCCTAGTGTTGCTGTGAAGAAAAAAATGAGATCATATCTGCAAAATATTTTGCAAATCTTAAAGAGCGATATAAATCCTAGCTATTGTTATTACTGAGAAGAGTGCCTGAATGAAGACAATCTTTCACTTCATCCTCTATATCAATGACTTATAATGCCATAGAGGGCACCACTCCCCAGCCTCTAACTGCCTGCAAGTACCTACTTCTTAGCGTCCTATTAAGCAGCACAACAGGGATTGATGGGTTACTCATACCAGAGCCCTAGGCCCCTGCACTAAGAGGTGACAATGGCCAATGTCTTCTTTTTCTAGGTTGATATTCTCTCTAACACCAGAAAGACTGGGTCATGAAACCACCCCCAGATCTGTTAAGAGTGAAAGGAAGGGGAAGAAGGGAAGCAAGGGAAGACCCAGTCAAAGAGAAGATAGACAACCAACTCATTTGGGGGAAGGAGGGGGTCATGGAGAATAATTCACTTTACAGCACAGTATAATGGAAGGAAGAACAGGCTGGAAGTCAAAGATCTGGGCTCAAGTACTGACATGGGGGCTGACCACTTCTGTCACCTTGTTCAAGCTACCTTTTCAGCCTATTTTCTCACCTATAAAATGGAAATAGTACCTACACGTATTATCTACTTCACAGAGTTCCTAGGATTGAGACTGGGAGAGGGTCTTCGAAGGCCATCTGGTCCAATACTCTGATTTTATAGGTGAGGAAACTGAGGCCCAGAAAGCTTATGACCAAGGTTACATTTGTAGTAAATAGTAAATAGTAAAAAAAAAAAAAAAGTACAAATTTACATTTGTAGTAAATAGTAAATACAAATATGTTTATTTGTAGTAAATAAATTTGTAGTAAAAATAGGATTTTACCCCAAGTCCTCTGACCCCAAATCCAGTACTCTTTTTCCTACACTATGCCATAGTAAATAGGAAGAAAATGTTTTATAATCTATAAAATGTTATATAGATGCCCTAAAAGTTATTATTATTTCCTATCTCTGAAAGTTAGACATTGTCTATAGATTCTGCTTAGGTTTCTGTTTTCTAAGGGCTAGTGCTATCAGGAGTGACAGATCATTCAATAATAAATATCTAGCTCCCCCCTCTGTTTTTACAGATTAGGAAACTGAGGCCCAAGGAAGTTAAGCGCCTTGCCCAAGCTCACAGAGATGGCAGACACTGGAGGCAGAATTAGATCCCAGGTCCTCTGACTCCAGAGCCATGCTCCTTGCCCCACTGCTTCCCCAAAGTAAACACTGCTAGCAGGAAAAGAGCACAAACATACTGCCCAGACCACGCCCAAAAGGATATTTCCATTCAACAATGCTTATGCATGCTCTCCGGATGGGGTTTTTCAGGGTCAAGCACAGCAATGCACGGGGTGGGCGAGTGGCCGTTGTGCTCCCTTGCTTCTTCTGCTTCCCATATTGCTGCCGTTTCCTCTGAGTGGAGCTGGCGGTGGAGATGGTAGCGTTGCCAGCACTGCCCATCAGCTTGGCTTGCCGGGCGGCATCAATGGCCGCCTGCCATGAGAGGGCTGCTCCTGGGGTGGGGATGTGCTCAGGGGCAAGCCCTGCTGCGGCATTGGCATTCATGTTGGCATGAGCTGGGCGAGGGCTCCCATAGTTGGAACCTGCAGAAGGAAATCGGAGAGAATAAAAAGGTTACTAAGGAAGAAACAGGGGAGTTTTGGAGCATCACGTCTCAAGAACTCTTTTAATTGCACAAAATGGAGAGCTAAAGGGAAGGATGTAGAGAATTGATAGTGGGGGACACCTAAGTTTGGAGTAATGGAAGAAACACTGAATTGAGTGATAAGAGACTTACCCGAGTGATTTTAGGCAAAACCCTTTAGTTGTTGCACCTAGTTTCTCCATGGTGAAAGGAGAGACTTAAACTAGGCTTTGGGTCTTTCCATCAATAGAGCTAGGTTCATATTAATGCAAATAATGAATCCCCTGAAGTGGTCACGTTATTTGAACTTGCACTGCATATTTCCATTGGGCTGGAACCAATTACCATATTTTACATAATTATAAATTCAAACAGTGCAAATTCAAATACATGTCACAACCTCAGGAGATTAATTATTCTACTACTCACGACCTACATCACAAGTCAAGGACTTGTGATTTTTTGATTCAGTCAATAAACATTAAGCATTCTATTATGTGCCAGGCACTGTGCTAAGTACTGGGGATACAAAGAAAGGCAAAAAGCAGTCCCTGCTCTCAAGGACTTCACAGTCTAATAGAGGAGACAACATGCAAACAACTATGTACAAACAAGCTATTTACAGGATAAGTAAGAAATAATCAGCACAGGGAAGACGCATCCTATAGAAGGTGATAATTTAGGAAGCCAGGAAGGCAGAAAATAAGAAAGGAAAGCATTCCAGGCATGAGGAACGACCCACAAAAATACCCAGACTCAAGAGATGAAGTGTATTGTCCGAGGAACAGTAAAGATGCCAGTGTCACTGGATCACAGAGTACTTGGAGGAGAGTAAGGTATAAGAAGACTGGAAAGGAAGAAAGCAAGAGATTATGAAGGGCTTTGAATGTGAAAGAGAAGATTTTATATTTGATCTTAGAAGTGATAAGGGGCCACTAAAGTTATTGAGCTGGGCAATGATGTAGTCTGGCCCGTGCTTTAGGAAGATCACTTTGATATCTCAGTGGAGGATAGCCTGGAGGGAAGGGATTTGTGGCAGAAGACCAAAACAGCAGGCTACTGCAATAGTCCAGGCATGAGGGGATGAGGGCTTGCATCAGGGTGGTGGCAGTATCAGAGAAGCAAAAGGGGCATATTCAAGAGATGCTGCAAAGGTGAAATTAACAGGCCTTGGCAACAGATTGAATATGGTGGGATGAGATGAGGAGTTAAGAAAGATACCTAGGTTGTAAGCCTGATGGACTAGGAGGAGAGTAGTACCTTCAACAGTAACAGGGAAACTGAAAGGAAGTAGAGTTTTTGGGGAAAGATAATGAGTTCAGTTTTGGACGTGCTGAGTTTAAGATGTCTACAGGACATCCAGTATGAGAGGTCTAGTAGGCAGTTGGAGTTGTCAAAGTGGAGGTCAGCGTAAAGGTTAGGGCTGGATAAGAAGATTTGGGAATCATCAGCACAGAGATGATAATTGAATTCAACTGGCAAAATCACCAAGTGAAATAGCATAACAGGCAAAACAAAAAAGGGCCTAGGACAGAGTCCCATGGCATGACCCGGACGAAGATCCACCAAAGGAAACAGAGGAAAAGTGGCCAAATAAATAGAGGAACCAGGAGAGAATGGTGTACAAAAAACCTAGACATGAGATGGTATCAAGGAGAAAGGGAAGTGACTGACACTGTCAAAGGCTGCAGAGAAGACAAGAAGGATGAGGACTGAGAAAAGATCATTAGATTTGATAGTTAAGAGATTGTCAGTACCTTCGGAGAGAGCAGTTTCAGTTGAATGATAAGGTCAGAAGCCAGATGGCAGCAAGTTAAAAAGGAGTGAGAGGAAAGGAAGTGAAGGCACCTATTGTAGACAGCCTTCTCAATGAGTTTTTGCCACAAACAGGAGGAGAGATATGGGACAAATAGCTGGAAGGGATGAGAGTTTTTTGAGGATGGAGGAGACATTAGCATGTCAGTAGGGAGTAGGGAATGAACCAGTAGACATGGAGAGACTGAAAGTTATTGAGAATTGGCAATGATACAGGGGACAATCTGCTGGAGAAGATGGGTTGTGCATACAGAGAGTTTTGCCTTGGCAAGAAGAACGGCCACCTTTTCATGTGAGATGGCATGAATAACATGAGTATGTTTGCATTATGGAGTCCATTTATGGACAATTTAGAAAGAGACCTCACTTCTAGCCACTAGACCTTGTAAGAAGTTCTTCAATTTTCAAATTGAGAGATTCTCTGAGACCAGCCTACTCATATTACTCCCTTCCAACTCTTCCATTACCTAACCAAAATGGATGACTCTGTGCACCCAAACACACTCTATCCTTTCCTACCTCCATACATTCACTTACATTGTGCCTGGGAATGCCTTCTTTCCCCCTTTGCACTTGCTGAATTCCTACCCATCCTTGCAAATACATTATAAAAGAAGCTTTTTCTAATACTCCATCAAGAATGCCATTTCTCCACTCATACCTCACATTGCATTTTGTTTTATACCTAATAGTTCTATATGTGTCTTATCTAAGCGATAATATCCAAACCATTCTTTACTATCTGTAGGGATGGTATTCAAACTTAGTATCCATCAAAAATGTCAACTCTCCCATTCTTCCTATTGTTTGCTTGTGCTTTCATTATTATCTTCAATTTGTGGTTTAACTTTACAAGAATCTTTTTCAGCTACTTGTTTATTTTAAAAGCAGGGCTAGTTTAGTTAAAACTAATAATATAATCTGTAAATCCACTTAACTGGGCACATGTAAACTGCAATATGCTTAAAGCAAACAAATAAGTTGAGTGTGTCACTGTCAACCTCTCAAGTTGTGTAATTAACACCAGTCCCTTAGAATACCGCATGTGATACATGACTGCCTGACATATGAGGGTGCCAAACGTTAATTTAAATATTAAATCAGTATAAAGCTTAATTTTGTCTTGGTTAGATGAGATAAATATAAGTAGAACACCTAGCACGATATTCTGAATACAGTAGGTCCTTCATTAATATCTGTTGAATTTTGATGAATGAACTCTTAATAGTACCCAGCAGTTTGCTGGTAGAATCAAACTTAGAACTCACAGCTCTCCAGATTTTGTATGATTGTTCAGCCACCTTCCCTCCCCGGATGAATGAATTTGCAGTGCTCTGTGTCATGGCACATATCAAGGATCTCACATACAGCTTTACAGCAGAACATTTCAGTTCCTTGCTATTAAATTGAGGAACATCCCTCAGCTCCATTCTGCTACAACACCTCTTCACACTCTCTTCTCTTCTTGATAGCCCTGTTTAGGTCATTACTCCTTAGCTTACATCAGTCATCTCTAAAATTTTTGATCATGTGCACCACTGGTAAAAAATAAAATAAAATAATTTGAGCATCCACCCCAAATACATGTATGTTAAAAATTGATGAGATCAAGATGAAATAAATAATATTTTAAATTTTTTACTTCATTTTGTCAATGGTTGTCAATGGTGGCTCAGTAAATAGAGTGCTGGGCCTGGAAGCAGGAACACTCATTTTCCTGAGTTCAAATCTCGCCTCAGACACTTATTATCTGTGTGACCCTGGGCAAGTCACTTAACCCTGTATGCCTCAGTTCCTCATCTGTAAAATGAGCTGCAGAAGAAAATGGGAAACCATTCCAGTATCTTAGCCAAGAAAACCTTAAGTGGGGTCACAGAGAGTCAGACATGACTGAAAATATGACTTAACAACAACTATTACAATTGTACCATAAATGTAACAATTGTACAATAGTACCATAAATGTTACAATTGTACAATCTTTTGGCTGTCACTAAAAGTTAAGTTAAATGATTTTCCCATGGTGACCCAACTAATAAATATCAGAGTCTGGATTTGAAGTCAATTTTTATTCCAATTTCAATATTCTATTATATAGCTATTAGTCTAGCTATAGATACTGATATAAACATAAATACAGATCAATCAAATCAATCAACAAATATTTATTAAGCACCTACTTTGTGCCAGGCACTGAGCTAAGTGTTCGGGAGACAAAAAGAGGTAAAAGATAGTCCCTGCCCTCAAGGAGTTTAAAATCTAATGCTATATAAATACACATATATATTCATATTCTATGTTTTTTATTTAAAACCAGAAATACCATTATCAATGTGCTAATATGGAATATTAATAAAAATTAATAAGAGCAATGTGATTGAGTAAGCTTCATTACTTTTTAAAATCTTCGTTTAATACTTTGTGATACACCAATCTCGTTCTAAGTTCAGTTTATTTTGCTTCTTAGTTTTAATGTCTGGAATAACTGATATGTAGATCCAAACAAAAGTCTATTGGCTATCTTGACTAACTGTGGTAGTCATTTTTCAACCAATCTACCAATTATACAAAGGTTTGTATTGAAATTCAGCTAGTGAATTTCCATATTGCCTGATATCAATCAGCTGTTCTTGCGAACTAATTGGAAGGTATGCATTTTCATATTTTTTTAATAAATGGGTTCAAAATTCACTTAAACTCTTTATTTGGAAGATTTTTAAACAAGTGAGGAGATGTTATTTCCAAGTGGGTTAAGCTTGCAGACTTGTATACCTGCACAGGTGACAGCACATCATTTTGGCAACAAAAGATTAATTCTTAAATCTCTTGTGAATCATAATGGCTCCATACTATCATTAGGTACCATCTCAAGGCATATTATATACTTAGAGCAAGGTTCATCATTAGTGATAGTAGATATAAATACTTAGTTCAAATAATCTTGATAATTTCAATTTTTTGCCAACTTCTTGTCAAATCTGATTAGATCATCATTTTTACCTTGTAATGGTGGCTGATCATGATTTTGTACTAAGAGTAAACTGGTTGCAAACTCTGCCATTTTTTTTTTTGCTTATGTTCCTATTATTAGTATTATCTTCAATTTGTGGTTTAACTTTGCAGGAATCTTTTAAAGC